TAACTTTCAGTTATCTTAAAAAATCTCTTTTGCTGAAACAATTGATTAACTCATTTATGTTATTTTTAAATATGAAAATAATGTACTCTGAAGAATGGGTGGATGGAAGCACTAAATCACTGGTAAAATCTTCTTCATCCCTGTTTATGGATAATGGAAATGTTCCAATTTCCCATCTCCACTGCTTTATCCTGAAATGACAGCTATGGCCAAGGAGATACCAGTAAGGGTCACTGAGAAGGAAATTTCAAGTTATACAGTAATTTTAAAGTCAGGAGATAACTTTCCTTCTCTTACAATGTGCAAGTTACTTGCATTTTTTTCCTGTAATTTCTTTTTTTCTTAATCATGAGCTATATCATATACAGTGAAAGCTGTGAGAGCCGGAACTCGATGGGACTGCCTTGTTTTTCCAGGTCTCGCAAGTTTTCCTTCTCTGACAGGGTGCAGACTTACCACTTTTCTATTGCTTGTTTTAGCGGAAAATATTTGAATTTTCCTTCTCTGATAGGTTTCTGCCTTACACAGGTTCCAGCTTTCACAGGTTTTACTGTATGTAGTAAAGCATAATAGAAGGTAACATATCATTTAAAGATTATTAAGGGGTGGGTGAGAATAGCATGGAAGCTATAGGGAGAGGGATGGAACTTTGCACTATGTTAATGCTTTATATATTTAAATTTACATTAAATGAACTCCAAAATGGAATGCAAACAGAAACAAATGAACCTAGCTCAGTAAACTTTTGAACTTAGTACAGATTCTATTCCTTCAATAGGATATAGTTGAAGGACAAAAAGAACTACAAGGAAATCTTGAACTTTACTTGGTAGGTTTGTTATTGGTAGTGACAGTGGTATGAGTTCAAAAACTATTTTGTGTGTATTGTATGATTGAGCGAATGAGTAAATATATCATCATTAAGAATAAAGTTTTCAAATGGGAGAAAAAGAGATAAAAGAGAAAGAATCCTGTGGTATTGGTTTGGAATTGGAGATGTCAGTATGAATTCATGATTTAAAAAAATACATGGGGAGCTTATCTTTACTGCACTGTCTTTTCCACTAACAGACACAAGCTTCAAGGCCAGCAAATGCAAGTTCAAGTGCCATCCCATACAGTTTCCTCAACCAAAAGGGAACTGTCCTAAGGTTTAACTTACCAAACCAAACCGGTTACCATCAAGTCGATTCTGACTCATGGTGACCCTACAGGACAGAGTAGAACTGCCCCACAGGGTTTCCAAGGAGTGGCTGGTGGTTCACAGCCTAGCTCTTAACGACTGCACCACCAGGGCTCCAAGGTTTAACTTAGTGCCCTGATAAAACCAGTCAAATTCATTTGAACCAGTTATATGGGATACAGCTTATATGAGGCTCCAACTCATGGTGACCCCATGTGTTGCGGAGGAGAACTGCATTCCATAGAGTTTTCAAGGCTTGTGACCTTTAGGAAGCAGATCGTCAGGTCTTTCTCCCATGGCGCTTTTGGGTGGGTTCAAACTGCCAACCTTTCAGTTAGTAGTTGAGTGCTTAACAATTTGTGCCACCCAGGGACTCCCATATACTGCTGGTGGGAGAATAAATTAAAAGAATCATTTTTGAAACCAGTCTGGCATCACCATATTCTAGGATCCAGCAAGTCCACTCCTGGATATTACACCCTTGAGAGATTCTTTCACTTTGTAACAGAAGACATGAACAAAAATGTTCATAGCAGCTTTGTTTGTAGTAGCTAAAAACTGGAAGCAATACAAATGCCCATCAATAGGAGAATGGGTAGTTAAATTGTGATACATTCATACAACAGAATAAAAAAAGCAATGGAAATGAATTAGTTACACACATCATCCTAGATTAACTATGCCACCAGGGCTCCGAACTACGAACGCTAGTGTACAAAGTCCTGGTTTACCTCTACAACTTATTTGTCTCCAATCTGAGCACTAAAGCTGGAAGGCACTGCAGCCCGCAGTCTTCTACCTCCTTCATTGCTGGGCTTTGGTCTGAAACCATTTTGCTCCTTGAACTCCACCACCATGCCCTTGATATTTTCCTTTTAGCTGGGCAACTCCTTCAGTCCTTCGGTGTCAGCTAAGCATTGTTTCCCCAGGCAGGTCTTCTATGACAACTCCTTTTCTCCTGGGGCCGGGATAGGGCCCTCCAGAGTGCTTCCATGAAATTCATTGTAACGGCCCAGTTACCTGCCCGCCATCTGACTATGCTGTTAAATCCTGTGAGGAAAGGAGCTGTCCTGACTTTTCCACTGTACTAGCTAGGTGCTCAATAAAGGCTTCTGAACTAACTAGACTCATGAATCGGTGGAGAAATCCACGAATAATAATCTTTCAACACTAACTGAACTGCGATCCCCTCCATCTCCTTAAACCGAAGGGAGTGCAGACTCAATCAGGAGACGCCGGGGCAGGTAGGGAGACCCGGCTCTTAGTCCAGGTTGGGACAGACGAGGAGAGGGCAGAGGCGCTCAGGACTGGTCACTGCACGATGCCCCAGCCCAGTTCCTGAGCTTGGCAAGGCCAAACTGACTCGAAAGGACGTTAGCTTCGAAATACAGTCCAGGGGCACGTTCTGAGGCACCACTAACACACCAAAGTCGCTATCTATCCTTGGGAGACCAAACAGGCCAGTTCACCTCAACGCCTGGCGACCGCGCACGCGTGGTAACGCCGCGGTGGAAGGGCGGCACGCGCTGAGGGGTGGGACAGGCCTCCCGCAGCGAGCGCGCGGGTTGGTCCAGGTCCCAGGAAGGGCAGGCGGTGGCCTACAGAAACAACCGGTTTTTCCCCGAGCCCTCCCACAAAAAAAGCAACTTACAGCCAAGCGGGCAGCTGCGGGTCCCCAATTCCGCTGCTTCCTCCGCCGTAGAAGAATAGCTTCTCACACCCACTCCGCACGCCCTCCTCAGGAAGGGACCCTACTAACAGGAAAATCACCCACGGCAGCGGCGTCCGCGAGGCCCTCGCACCCCGCCTAGGGCGCCCCAGTAGCGGCCTGATTGACGCCGGAAACTGGGACCGGCCGCACCGGAAGTCCCACCTCACCCTGATACATCCATCTGCTTCCCCGCCTACCCTCCACCCGAGGTTTCCTGAGTTTGGGATGCCACCAGCCTACCTTGTCCTGTGTCTGCGTGGCATCTGAAGAGAAAGTGGAGATATTTTCGAGACCTGCTCCCTCAAAGGCTCACCCTGCTGGGCCCAGATGCAGGAGGAAAAACAAAAACCTTTGACCTTGCTCAGCAGCTATTTCCTATTCCATAGCACCATCGTTGAACCAAGAATTTGTTGAGTAACTTTCCTTGCCTCCAACCTCCGTTACTCCACGACTTCTTGCCGAAATTCTCCCCATTCTCGAGGGGTAACCCCGAAGTCGTCTCCTTGATACATCTTCTTGAAATATCCAAGTTTCTGAAGTCATTTCCTTCTTTGCTACTTGAACAGCACCTGACACTTAACTGCTGTCTTCATTAACCACTACCTCAGTTAAGAACGACCCTTGTTCCTGCAACAGCTATCAAGCCTCTTTCTCATTCGAGAGCTGCAGAAAGCCTTGCCTCCCAGTCCCTAGGACAGCAATATCCTGGTGTACATAGAACCGCCTTTTCCGCCTCTCCTCTCCCCCGTGCCCCCCACAGGTTGGGAATCTCTAGATGTCTCCGCTTGAACCAAATAAACTCCTTGAGTGCAAAGATGGGCACCCGTTTATATACCCTGTAGGAAAAATGGTTAAATGAACAACTGTGGAGCAGTCTGGCACAATAGGATGCACACTCTGGTTACACATATGGAACCCACTGAAAAAATTGCCGGCTTGCCCTTGACTGGGAACCCATAGGCTACTAACACCATCTACCACCACTCTGGCCCAGTGCTGGTTGGCCATTTTGTCAGCTCTAACTTTTATGTTTTCTGGACTAGAGTCTTGCTTTTCCGGCCTACTAGTCTGGAAGTTGTTTTTGTCCTAACTCATGATTTTTGAGTGTCGAGGCCTACTTGAAGGAAAAATTATCTGTTCCTAGTTTCAGCTTCAGAACTAGGAGCTGAGTCTTTGACCAAATTAAAAGACCACTAAAGGATTTTAAACAAGGAGGTAATACAAAACCTGCATTTTTTCTAAATGCTTACTCTGGCTGCAGTATGGAAAATATATTACCCCTCTGCTGTGGAGTCGATTCCAACTCATAGTGACCCTATGGGACAGACTAGAACTACCCCATAGGGGTTTCCAAGGAGCGGCTGGTGGATTCAAACTGCCAGCCTTTGGTTAGCAGCCAAGCTCTTAACCACTGCGGTACCAGGGCTCCAAAAAATGGATGAGAGATCAGATAAAAGGCTATTGTAGGGCTACAAAAGAGATGCTTGAACTAGAATTGTGTGGAAATGGAGCAGAGGACAACTTTCTGCCAAAGATCCAGGAAATCTTTTGGAGGTGAAATAGTCTGAAATTGGTGATGTATTAATTTGGAGGTACAGGAAAAGAAGGAACCAAGATAATTACTAGATTCCAGACTTGGGCATCTGAGTAGTATAACTAATGGTGCCACTCACTATGATGTAGAATAGTGGTACTAATAGTTTCCTCCTGACCTAAAGACTCAAATTGTTTTGCTTCCCAAAGGGCAAAATGAGTAAAGAGAGGATGGGAACCTCAAAATGGAGGAGCTGGATTCAGCGAAAAAAAAATGAGACAAAAAGCCAAAGGAGTGGAGACACAAGGAAGGGAGTATCATAACTGATACAAAACCAGTAGGATTTCAAAACTTTATCTTCATCACTGATAACCTTGGACATTGCCCACTACGTGTTCCAGATCCTTGCACTGAATGTTTGCACATTTGACGTCTAATGACCAATCAGGAACCAAGGAATATTTTAGTGAAAAATAATTCCATTATGCTTAGTATCAAAATTTTATTATTGACAATAATTTTGAAACTGTAAGTTAATGACAAAGTGACTTACTTTACCAAAAACATTTTTATTTCAGGAGAACATCTCTTTGATTGAGGTACATCTAGAATCAAAGGTTAGGGATCTGGAAAAGATACATATAGATCATCTGGTCTAAACGTCTATTCTCAGTTACCAACCAGTTTTACAGATGAGGCAACCAAAAACAACCAAGGTCCTGGGAAGTTTACTTGTCTTAAGTCACATGGTAAAAGGTTTGCTTGGCATATTAGAAATATCCTGCCTCCCATGCTTTTTACCATTCAAATATATTCCTTTCTCTCAAGTCATTTCATGAGTACACACACACATACACCAAAGTGATTGCATGTATCTAGAGAACATAGATCACATTGCCTACTCTTACTCTATCTAAAGCAGGGATTAAAATTTTTTTCCCCACAGTTTTAATAAAAAGCAAAAACAGGAAAATAGTCATGTACAATTTCTTTTGAAGAAGTTAACATTGTTATCACTGAAAAAAAAGCCACTTGGAAATCAGCTATTTAGACGCCTAGTTGAAATATATACATATTTTTTAAAGATAATTTTTAACCATATTTTTGAAACATTCCATTTTGTGGCAGCATCTCAGGAAGCCTGATGAGAATGAGGTGAAGTTTCAGCAGTCGGCCTTTGGGCCCCACATCTTCCTGAAGTAAAAATAAATAAATGGAGCTGCTCTCATCGTTTTAGATATTGGTAGTATTACATTCTGTGTTAGATTCCATTGATTATCTGCTTCTGCTGCTAACAACCAAAGTTTGAAAACCAGTGTACTTGATTAAGGGTAAGAATTTGGTTAATACCTATGCACTGGAGCCAAGCCCCATCACAACAGCTCAAAGGCACACAGACGCAGGGTCAGAATACTTAAGGACCAGAAACATCATGGATATTTGGAATCCAGAATGAACACACATTGTTAATCCTGAGAACTGATAAGGGGGAGGACTAGACAGGTGGGCAGACACTTTAATTGTTGTCTACTAAAATAAGCTCCTCTGAATCAGAACTGCCCCAGGAAACCAGGGCTAAAGTAGGAAAGCCTATAGACCTCCTTCAGGCACACTACAACTGGAATTGTGTAAGTGGCATCCAGAGATGTTCAGTGCTTCACTTTCCTCAAAACCACTTTGCTTTGGAAAACTCTGCTGCGACTGCTCCCCAGTGGAGTGTGGCACTGTCCCAACGCTAAATAACACATGGTGTGTCCCTTTTACATGAAAATGGCATTAGACCAAAGTCACTCTCTCTTTTTTTTTCATTGTATGCAGCTGGGAGTACCCTCAATTAACTTCTTTGGAATCTATCTGGTGGCTTAAACTTGGATTCATGCATTAGCTTTTCATCAGGCCAAAACAACACTGCCTCTAGGTGCTAAATATATTAGTTACTCACATGAGCCAGGTAATCCAGTAAGAATCCCTGGTACATTTCCTTGGTTCAACTGCATGGCCCAGGGATCATCAGTCTCTGGCTCAAGCATGGCCAACAGGCATTCAGTACCTGCTCCAAAGTTTTAAAAGTAACTTAAGCCATGGAATAAAAAGTTCCTCATGAGTCTTCCTGATGTATGGCAGCAATTCAGTTAATTCATTTAAAAAAAGAAAAAAAAAGGGATTCTAAATACTTCATTAAATATGTGCTCAGAGATTTTACAGCAAAGAACATACATGTGTTATATAAGGGAGGTTAATTCAGTTAACACTGACAGGTATATACTAAGGTATAAAGACAAATGCTTGACTTGGAAATTCAACTTTATTTATAAATGTTCTATAAACAAAGATGTCATTCCACCCCTCTAAAATACTATAACTGATGATTTCCACAAAAACTATTTACATAGTTTTAACTTTTTTCATAAAACTGTGTTACGGAAAGAGCAAATAACCTCACAAGATGGTCTAAGACATAAAAACAAAACAAAACAACAAAACACAACTTATCCAGCATAAATGCTCTTTTGTCATATAGATTAAAAAATTAAGAATCACACCTTAATATGTTACTCCACCAAGAAACGGAAACATGAGATAATTTTTTTGGAAGTCAATGCTTCACAATAAATATTATCTTCTTATATAGCAAAGTTTAATTGTGATTATTTAGGATTGCTCTTGCAGGCTGACACTTATGCTGACTTTAAAAAATAAGTCACCATTGTAAAAGGGCAAAGACTTTTCTACACAGGTTTTTCTACCAGTGAAATACATAGATACTGGTCTAATCTCATCATTCAGGAAAATTAATAAAATAAATTCATGAAAAGTACTTAAAACAAAAACACAATCATCAAATCACGTGACTCACTGACTTACAAAGTTAGAATTCTCCCTGAAATCAGGGAGTATTTCTCCCTAATAGTTACTATAAATTGGAATTTTTCATAGCTGAGGCTATAGTCAAAATATTTAACCAAAAAGTTCAAAATAAACTCATCCAAATTACTTATTTATCATTTTATATCTAATAATTACTTTTAAAAACTCCTTTAAATTGTATCTCAGTGGGTAATTGCTCTCACAACATAGCTAAGTCATAAGCAACTTTAAAAATTTGAAAAAAAATTCATCCCTGAGTAATGAGAGATAGAAATCTCTACAAACATAGATGTGACAGTCTTGTACCCTTTAACAATCTTTACCACAGCATGGACTACTATTAACAAGCTATAACATATATTTCAATCCTGGGTAGTTACTGTCTTTGTTGTATTAATCTGATCTTTTTATAATGAAACTACAAGTGCAACATTAAAAAAAATCAGATAAATAAGAACTCTTGTTTTATTGTCAGCGTTACATTTTTGTCAAGTGCAAGGCTGGCTAGCTAAGGTATCTATTTTCCAATCATGACCGAAGTAATAACTTTTGCTGGCATCTCTTCTTCTGAGTCTCCATTTCCCCCACTGGTCTTCATCCAAATAATAAAAGTAATACAATTACAATTGAGTTTACTATTATCAATGGCACTGTAAAGGAAAAAAAAAACTTGTTAATATAAAGAAAATATCAGGAAAAGACAAGGTAATAGTTATTGGCATCTAGGAAGAATGGAAATACCTAACAATATATCATCATAATTGTACTATAAATAATTGCAATAAACGAATATTCCAACATGCATTGGGTCATAATAACCAAAATTTATTTTTAAAGAGGCATATGTGACTAGGAATAAGGGTCACACACTGGCATGAGATTAATGGGAAACAACTGCGATAGTGCTGCTGCAGCTCTATCATGGAAGCACAAAGGACGCAGGCAGAAGGAGACCCACATGGCTGTCAGTGACACTAGGATGAAAAATGCAATGTAAAAGAGATTGTGTAGTTTCATTGCTAAATTAAGAATTAGTTTATTTACCATTCTATCCAAAATCATGATTAAAATAGCTAGTAAGTATGTAAATAAAAGCCCTAATTTTAACGGTTTTAAATAAAAGTCTTTTGAACTCTCTTTCTTGAATTGGTCTAAAATATTTTCTAATACAATGGTAGATTTGGGACTTTTACTTTTCTCTGGAAAGGCTTCCAGGACTCTAGATGACTTTACAACTTGTAGAATTTCCAAACGCAAAACATCGTTCTTTCAGCTCCAAGAAATAATAGGCAGATTATACCACTGAACATTCCACTTGCATCAGCTAGCTTAGACACAAATAAGAGGCAAACTAAGCAAGAACCCAGTAACTTTAAGCAATAAAGCAGGGTTAAAGAGGAAACAAATCCCACTATGTTCCTGGGGTCTTAAAAGCTTGCGAATGGCCATCCAAAGTACAACTGGTCTCTTATTTGCCTGAAGGAGCAGAGGAAGAAAAGGCAAGGATCAGAGGAGGAACTGGAATTCGAGTCTAGCTGCCTCCATGAACAACCGCCTCCTTTGCCATGAGGCCAGAAGAACTGCATGGTGCCCAGCTGCCATTACAGAACGTTTTGATAACAAATTCTATAGAGGAATTCAGATCAAAAAGGGGGGAAATGCGGACCAGAATTACAAATTCTCATGGAATCCAGACTTTCTGGAGCCACTGAGGCTGGATGAGCCCCCAAAAACTACTGCCCTGAAATAATCTTTAAATTTTAAACCTTAAACTGAAACTATCCCCTGAAGTTATCTTTGGACCAAACAATAATATGGCTTAATAGGTAAATAATGTCTGCCTTGGGCATTGTGCTCTTTTAAAGAATTATCTATATGGGATCAAACTGACAACAGCCAACTTGAAAGACTGGATGAGAAGGTTAGGGGGCAGTGAGTTTATCTTGATGGTAGTAGAGTAATTTGGAAAAGGAAAGTGAGAATAGTTGTACAACTTGAAGAATGTAATCAATGTAACTGAATTGTACATGTAGAAATTGTTGAACTGGTGTATGTTTTGCTTTGTATATTTTCACTAAAAAATAAAATTTATTTTAAAAAAATTCCCACTACGAAAAGGGTATGTTGTAGTACTCACGCTCTGAGCCTTTGCTTCTCAAACCAAACTACAAAATTAAAATTTAACAGTACTCCACTAGTTTTTCTTACCTCTCATCACGGTCCTTACAGATCGAATAAGGTTCATTAGCTGTGATTTAATTCCTGGCTCCTCTCCGAATCCGCCAATTCCCTGGTCTGTTCCCCAGCCAACTGCATAATATAAAGATGATTAGCTGTATTAAAATTTATTATGCACTTGCCTTGCTCCCTCATTAGTCATCTTTTAAAAGATTAGTTTGAGCCCTATTAAAGACATCAAATATAAAATCATATGACTTATAAGAAAGGTTAAAATAATATTAAGTGTTTTAGAATATTTTACTTCTGATAGCAGCAACAAACTCAATTCCTGTCATTTATACACTCTGATTTTACAAAATCAACTACAGTCTAAATTATCCAATGGCATTTAATTTAGTGAAGATGACCACTGTGACACTCTGATTGTTTTTTACCTCTCCTTTTTTAAAGTAACAAACAAAATATTCTTAGGTCAGAGCTGAAACCCAATAAGCTCAATAATTAATTAGCTCAATTCAGGATTTATAAAACCCTACATAGCTATTGGTATAAAAACATTGTAGCTAATTATTTATCTTTCTTGGGGAAATTTTAACATAAACCTGGACACAGCTTAGTTAAGCCTTCAACAGCATGTTCCATCCATCCTATCAGCAGGGGCTCATCTTCCCCCCTCCTTTTTCCTTGCTTATTACTCTCCATTTCTCAATTTGTGAAGGCAGGAATTTAGTCCACTACCCCCCTTATTCTCTTTAAATGAGTTTTTACCTTTTTCTATGGAATTTTTCTATAGTATTATAAATCATTTTTTCTTAACCTTTGTCTACTAATTCTTTTTTCATTGCCTTACACACTCTTCTGAAGACTTAAATGTCCTCATTTCAGGTCCACTTTTTACCATCTCATGTAACTACAGGGCTTAATTAATTCCTTACATGCTAAGCCTTATATCTGAGGACAGAGAACAAATCTTTAGTTTGTTTCATACAAACTAAGGATTTCACTTAGCTTAATCAACTTTCATTTGGTTGAAAGAAAAGTTAATTAATGGTTGTGTGTTTTGTCACATCAATACTGAGATATATCCTGGTGTAAAACTAATTTAAAATTCAAGTTCTCAGCAGAGCTGATGTGTTTTGATAGGGTCACTATGAGTCGCAATCGACTCGACGGCAACAGGTTTTACCCTTCAAGGCCTAGCTCAAGTTGGGCTCACATCTTCTCAGTCCACAGGGGTCTCACTCTTTTCTGACGCCATAGGACAACTACTGACAGAGTGGTTACTATCACAGTCTTTACTACCTCTTGCCTAGACTCCTTCAATAAAAATAAATAAATAAATAAAACTAAACCCACTTCCGTCGAGTCCATTCCAACTCACAGCAACCCCACTGGGTTTCCAAGGCTGTAAATGTCTATGGAAGTAGACTGTCATATCTTTCTCCCACAGAGCCACTGGTGGTTTTGTAACACCAACCTATCGGTTAAAAGGCAATCACTTTAACCACTGTGCCACCATCTTTCAACAGACACCTCTATAATCTTTCTCAACCCCTTGAGTTTTCACCTTAAAAGATCTTTCTACCTCAAAATTTTGTGAATGATTCCTGCTTCTTACTGAATAAAGTTCAAACTCCTTAAATTGACATCCTACCCTTATATCCTACCACACCCTCCAAGTATTTTTATACACATTCAATTACCCAGTAATTTCTGTACATGCTTAAAGCAGTTTCTGAATCCAGGTCTGTCTGACTTCAATGTCATGGCCAAAATTTCCTCTAACATGTCATAACAGATCTTTTTTTTGTCTTTGCTCCCCAAACAACCCACTGACTGTAGTTGACTTTGGTGTCCTTGCTTAGTTGTTTTCATTTGTCTCCCCATTAGATGAAAGACTCCTGGAAGACGTGGGCTGTAATTTAGTCATCTTTCTTCACCGTTCTACTCTCCTCTCCCACCACCCCACAGTAAACGTTTGTGGGATTAAACTGAATTATAGTACACGGAGTTAATCTGGGATAAAGTAAGATAAAATAAATTCTAGGACTGTAGGTAAGACTTCCAAAGAACTCGGTTTCATTTTTAAAGACATTATGAATTATAAAATGAACTCACAATAATAGCTTTGGGGAAGAGAACAACATTAAATGTACATACCTATGCAAGTTGAAAACAATTTCAGAAACGTTAAAATGTGAAATAACGTGCACAGAAGAATCAAGGAGACAATATATATCTGTACCTTGCCTGGGCAATACCACCCTCCTACTTCTGGATCTCTTTGCCCTTCTACTTGGCAAGCAAATGCACTTATGCTGCTTCTCCAACATTTGCTTTTACTGCATTACACATTTACTCTAACTTTTTTATTCCAAACATCTGTCTCATTTTTCCAGGTAGCTCAATCTGCATTCTCCACTATATGGCAGTCCTCTTTTTGTAATCTAAGTCCAGAAGTATAGTATCAGCAGCCTTCAGCTACTTGTAGTATGGTGAAAACAATTTCCTGTTAGTCTCTCTAGATGACACACAAATTGACCACCATCAGTTATGCCATCTTCCAAACTGTGTAACTGCTACAGGAAATTTTCTAATGGAAAGCAGAATGAGATAATTTCCCAACTAGTTTAGTCCCACTAATATAAACCTAGATAACAGCTCTGCACAATAACAAAGCAACCTAGTTCTGGTTAAACACAACGGAACACATTATTTTTATTTTAGCTGCCTCCTGAAACTCCACTAAAAAGAGCAATAAAGGAATAAGTTAACAAAAGAGTATTCTCTAGCAAGAGAAATCAATCAAAATTTGGATGACAAAAATAAAAGGAAGAGGGACAAGTGACTTAGCAGAGAAAGTTAAAATCTAAAGCCTGCAGAAAGCACACAATAAAGAACTGAGGTGAATTCTGCTGAGAACCCTGGAAAGATGAGAAAAGCCTCAAAGTGTCAGTGTGGGAGATGGGGATGAAAACAAGACTATTAACAGAAAGTCTACATAAGAGTAGTTAGGCCCCCAATGCCTTTCCCTAGATTGCACAGATGGGAAGATGGTCCCTCTCTTACTCCATCAGAAGACTGCTGAGGTTTACTTGCAGCTCAGATTGAAACACAGAAGCCGTGGAAACACAGGGAGGGTGGATCGAATGAAAGTCTGCACATCAAAGTGTAAGACTCTCCACCCATTATCCCTGCTTGTCTCTCACATATGTCTGGACTTATAAGACATATTCTGCAGGCAGGAAGTTAGAAAATTCCTCTAAAAACTGACCAGCTGCCCAAGAAGAAAGACTTCAGATACTGACATTTGGAGAGCCTCAATGAAACAGCCATCTTCTTCACTTCACAGAAAGGCCCACTGGTAAACAAGCCCCAACTACCCACATGAAGCTTCTAATGAGCCTCTCAGAGCCTTACATTAAAAATGAACTGATGGTTAATTGTTTAAGGGAGCAAATTACTCACAGGTGATAATGCTTATTTTCTAAGCCAATCTATTATTTGGCTGAAAAGTGATCTGCAGAAATAGCTTCAATTCCAAGTTCAAAGGGCATCTTAGGGCGACAGTCTCAGGTGTTCCTCTAGTCTCTATCGGTCCAGCACGTCTGGCCTTTGTTAGGAATTTGAGTTTTGTTCTACATTTTTCACCCATTCTATCTGTGACCTTCTATTGTGTTCCTGGTCAGAATGGTTGGTAGCGGTAGCTGGGCACCATTTAGTTCTTCTGGTTTAAGGTTAGAAGAGGCTTAGGTTCGTGTGGGCTATTTGTCCTCTGGACTAGTTTCTTCTCTGTGCCTTTGATTTCCTTCATTCTCTTTTCCTCCATACAAGTAGAGACCAACAGTTGTATCTTAGATGGCTGCTCGCAAGCTTTTAAGACACCAGACGCTACGCACCAAACTAGGATGTAGAACACTATCTTTGTGAACTATATTATACCAATTGATTAAGGTGTCCCCCGAGACTATGGTCCCAAGCCTGTTAACCCAGTAAACCACTCCCATGAGTTGTCTGGATATGTCTAGGAAGACTCTGTAACTGTGCCCTCTATGTGGTTTGTTACATATGTGGATATATATGCGGCACACACAAATGTATATATACATATGTCTAGAGATATACCTATACATGCACATGCATTTACTCCCATATGCCTTCCTATACACATATATGCATCCATATCTATTTATATCACCACACACATATTTTGGGGTTGTTTTTACTGTTGCTGCAAAATTGTACATGTTATAGCACTTATCGAAATTATCCCTTTTTCTCGTGTACTTCTTTGTGTCTTTATTTACCTTGGTCAAGTTGTGCTGCCTTCACTCACATTTGGGACTGCCTTTCCCATCACCAAAAGTAACAAGTGTCTACTATCTAGAAAGTGATCCCCCTCCCTCTCCTTCCCATCCCTGGTAACCATCAAACAACTTTGCTTTCTGTGGGGAGTATCTTTTTTTTTTTTTTTTTAAATATTTTATTGTACTTCAGGTGAAGGCTTACAGAACAAATAGTGTCTCATGAAACAGTAGCACACATGTTGTTTTATGACATTGGTTAACAACCCTGTAGGGAGTATCTTTTACTAGAACAAATAGTTTTCCCTCCAACTTGTACTTATGGAGTCTCAGTTACTTGCCTAAGGAACCTGGCCAAAGCGTTAAAGGGCTTTGCTTTTTTTTTTTTAAAGGGGGAAAGATTCAATTCTGTGGTTTACTTTTCGCTTCTAGAGCTAGAGGGCCTTGCAGAGAAAAAATGATAAGACCAGCCAGCAGTACAGTAGCTGCTGCTATAGTTTCAGAAGTGAACTTAAACAGAAAAAGGTACTAATTGCGAACACCAAATATGTTCTGCTGCACAGACTGTAAAAAGTCACACACAAAATGGCAATCCATTCAGGCTCTCAAAACCTCAGCTAGATAACACTTTGAAGAAAAACTATTAGCTAGAGTTTTAGGGGCTGGCTGAGCCCGGGCAAATCCAAGCCTCTCTGAGATCAGATTCCACAACTCTAAAAGAGAATGAATATGATTTGCCCTCTGTTAATGCCACCAAGTTTGTATGTGAACCAAATGCTATCATAAATGTGAAAGAACCTAGTGAACTACATAAAGAACTCTGCT